CATTTTGTAAGTTTTCAAGCTTAGTTTCAAGTATTCTAAGCTTAGTTTGTTGTAGCCAAGGTAAGAATGTTTTCCTCCATCCTTCAAGCTTTGTTTTAAGCTTTATTTTGCAAGTTTTATAATTTGTTTTAAAAAATGGGTTTTATGGAAGTCAAGGGGATCCATGAATCCAAGGTTGGTTATAGTGTAATTCAAGTTACCTAGAGCATCTTAAGTTTTAATCCAAGAGATTAGTTAGTTTAGTAAACCCTTTTCTTGTCTTTTTTTAGTGCGGGAGGTGGGAGAAAAATATAAAGCAATACGGAAAGAGAAGTCACCCCTTGGTTAACTTGAGAGAGTTTCTAGCAAGCAAGAAGCAATGTAACACACTATTAACTCTTCCATACTCCTAGTGATCATTGGAAATGAGTTCTAGCTTGAGAGTAAGTTATGAAGCTTAGTGTTATATGTTAATGGTAGATTACATGATTTATGTTTTAAGCATGATATAGAGCCTTATTTATGATCCTTGTAATCACATAAGACTTTAAAGAATGCTTGGGAACCTCATTGAAATATAGCATTTTCATATGTGTTTTATGACTTCTGCAGGTAGAGTATTGATACTATAGGGATAATATCTATACTTGTTCTTTGGTTTGGGCAAATTCGTGAGTTTTTGGGCAAGAGTATCGAAACTTTGGGTCATAGTTTTGAAACTCCCAGAAAGTTTTGAAACTGGGCAGAAAAAAATGTTTAAAAGTATATGTACTTATATAAAGTATTGAAACTTTTGTAGGAGTATCAATACTCTTGGGCTAGTATCGATACTTTCAGTATGTTTTGGGAAAAAAGGTCAGTTTTTAAGGGAATTAGACTCAATGTACCCCAACACTTCAATATTTCCTCATATAAGACTTCAAGTGAGAACATTAATGATGTTTAATTCAAACGTAGAAACGAGAATAAAGTAAGGTGAAATAATACTAGCCTTATTTGAATGCTCAGGAAAATGACCAGGACACCCGAGTTCCTTCAGAAAATATAGTGGAGTCAAAAGTATAAATTCAATCTGAATATCCTTAGGAAGTGCGCAAGGCACTTTAAGATGACTTGTTTGGGCACAAGGTCCGACACTCAAGGAGTGGGCTGGTTGAGAGTATGGTGTCCGATGCAGAGATTTCGAGGGCCACATTCTCGGTAGACTAGAGGGGTGTGTGAGCTCCGAGATACAGATCCCTCAGCTGTACCATGATGTCTACCATAGAATAGAGAGTGAGTATACGAGTATACTCACTGAAGCATAACAGAACATATCAATAGACCAGATAGCAATAGACTTGATAGTTTGAGCATTTCAGTGACAAACTTTTAGTATGTTTTAGTTGTTAGTGTGGAGTTTAGCTAGTTAGCTCAGCCTTCGGATTGTTTTTCGTGGGCAGGTCAGTAGATCGACAGTTCGAGAAGGAGTATATAGATTATGGTCAAGACCCAGTGTAGATTCAGAGTATGTCTCAGCAGTTTTTGAAGTGCGTGTATATTTTATAAACCCTTTTGTATCAGTTGAGTCATACATTTTATTAAGAGTTGGTCTGTAATATTTTGATTGTAAATATTTATTTTGGGAGCTCCCCATTATAAAGTTTTATATTAATTATTTCATGGATGTTTTATTTGTGGAAATGGTCGTTTTATAGTACAAGAAAAGAGTAAGGTGTTGGTCAGCCACTCCGATAATTCCATATGGCATCTTACATCGATCGACTGTGTGTTGTACTGATCTAGGTTGTTACATGACCTCTGTGATTAGGCTCGTTCAATTTTTAGCATTGCACCTAGCCTTTGAGGCATTATTATTCGTTGTATTTTGGTTTTGGATAAAGGTTGGGGGTTAAAGTGGTTTGGCATAAGAGTATGTTCTTCCCTTTGTATGTTCTGAAACGTGCCATTATTAGGTGGATGGCTATTTTGGGGGCTTCCCACCAAAGATTGATTATTGAGTATGGGGATTGCTACGGATAGAAAATGTATGTTTTATGGTGAACCTGAAACTTGGGATCATCCTTTTTATGAATGTTTATTCTATGTGGGTATTTGAGAATCCACCACTAATGGAGTGGGATGATGAGCTCAAATGGGTCTTGCGTTACCTTAAGGGTAAATATTTGATCTCCTTTCTCCTTAAGATTACTAGATGTTCATTTATTTACTTTGCTTGGGAGGAACGAAACATGAGATAGTTTAAAGGTGTGAGTAGGGAGCAATGTGAGATTTTTGAGCCATTGTTGAAGTTATTAGAATGAAAACTATACATACGGGTATAGATACAATAAATGGTGTTAATATGAGGTTTTGTTCTAGTTGGGGTATTCAGGTGTAATTATTGATAGGCTTTGTTTATTGGTTGGTTGTTTTGTAGCTATTTGGCTCTTTGGCTTATATTTGTTCTGGCTGAATGTGGATTGTAGTTGTTTCTACTTTTTTTTTGGATAAATTCAAACACAATTATCCAAAAAAATATAATACTCCTATATAATTTATGAGTTATAAAATTAATGAATAATAAATCTCTATGTTATGTTTAAAAGTAAAATAATTTAGAAATGAGTTATACCTCCATAAATATCTCCGAAAATAGTATGACCATCCACATTTCATTTAGATATCATACTCCTAAGATGATCACAACTCCATAAATAGACCTTCAAGAGTCTCATATGATTTATAATAGTCAAACTCGCTCTAATAGTTGTAACCATCTTGTGTAAGTTAGCTTACAAATAATAATTGTTATCATGAGTATAACACCAGTCGCCTTATAGGTGAGGCATTTATATCATGAGGAAAGGGAAAAAGAGGGGGTTCTCTCTCTTCCTTCATTTTATTATTCTTCTTCACTCTCATCTTCCCCTCATACTTTTATTTATCTCAGAGAAAAACACTAGCTAACAGTTGTTATCTCATCAATTGTGGCTCTTTACCCAAACTCGAAGGATGAGTTGTCAACAGTCTACGAGACAAATTTGTTTACATCAACAATTGGTACAGTGAACATGAACAACTTCTAACCTAAAAGAAATTAGTCTAGAATGGACCTAAAACCAAAACGATCAAGTTAATCTCCCTTCCTTTTTCTCAAAATCCTTTCAACCCACTTAATCTCCCTCACCAACAATAACAGTACACTTACGATTCATCGTATTTTAGATCTTACCAGACTTATTATGGCGCATATGATTAGTCTGGATAATGCAAACTAGTACTATTTTCAACCGCAACATCAACAAAAGCTATATCCTTGTGACTCAGAAAATCAACAAATTCAGTCTCAAAAATGAATTATGAAGCTTGCAATATAGTTCACGACTCCTTAAGGGTAAATCGAGGATATAGAGGTTCTTCCTCTTCAAGTAGCAAAGGATACCACAGGAGCAACACGTTGGAACGGTTTGTGCATAGGGGTAGACATCAAAATGAGGTCTAGTCAGAGGAGCAATAATAAAGACTCGCTCAATGAATCATTGACTAATCTTCGATGTTTGAAATGTTGGTGAAAGGTATGGACAAGATTCTCTTATAATGATATGCAATTGTAACCTATGATGGCAAGAGGAGTCCATATCATAATCTTCTAGACAGCTCCCCATCAGGTATGAATCCAAAACCGCTAGAGTCCAAACAAATCTAATAAAATTTGAACCCGAAAAGACTCGAGCTTGAAAAAAAATTAGATTAGAGTCGAGACGATAAAAAATGACCCGTCCCTACCCGTATACATTCCTAGTTTTAAGACTCGTTAGAGTTAAGACTACCAAAAGCATAAAATCTTTTAAGGCTGTCATGTCAGGCCGATTCACAAAGAACACAACATTCAAATGAGAAAATCCCAATAAAACATAGAATGGACTTGCTACTAAGGTTAAAGTGCTACACCAATTTGTCCGTGGGTCCCAACCATCACCAAAAATTGTGATAGATTTTGATTAGAATCTTTAAAAGGGCTTAATTAAAACCATATTTTGAAGAAAAACAAACCATGTATTAGACCATAAGTTGATGACATGCCGAGTGGCTCAATAACCCAGAAAATGCGACAAATAATGGGGGAATGTTAGGCTGGCAACCCAACGAACAAGACAAACCAAATACATATGTATGTATGTATGCTCACTGCTAAAAACCAGATATTCTTTAATTTGCGTTCCTGTTTAAGGAAATGGGTGTTCTGCAGATGTAGGGGAGCTCATAAATGCAATAGCTTTGGAGCTCAAAAGGGACAGATAGAGAGGGAAAAGTAAAGAGAATGGTTCGGTGACCGGGTCACACACTGCATTTTGTCTTTCTTGAAACCTCAATTACCCATTTACTTTACCACTCTCAACTTTGTCATTCTCTTAAGTCTTTTACGTCCTCCCCTGCAATTTAGGATTTGTGATTTATCCATGTTGATGTATAACGTTAAACAAGATGATGATTTATGGTGGTTAAGCCGACTAGTCAATGATTTATGACGTTAATTGTCCACATGTTGACAAACTAATTTTGATGATTTGTTCAATAATATAATGTTGTATTGTATTAGCCACATGTTTGAAAGTAAGTCTCCATTGTCAATGGAAAAACTTGTCCTGCCCTCTTATTCCCTTTTCTTAGTTTAGGTGTTTACTTTTGAAAAGCAATGCTCCTTTGGTAATCATTAATGTAATTAACTTAGGTACTTCTTTGTTTCCTTTTTATCATCATTGGTCCAAGATTTATGTACACAGGGACAAACTTCCTTTATGTTTTGACATTTGCTCCATTATACGTCCGGTATCATTGCTCTCCTTCACAATCTCGAGTCGATTTTAAACATGGTTTAATCTTATAAAGTCGAGTGAAAATCTATTAATTTTAGTTTTGGTAAGCTAAGCACTTTAATTCAACTCTAAAGTCTAACTAAAAGCTACTACAATTGTCGATCACATGCAGTGAAACAAAACAAGTTAACACAGTCTGCTTGTTGCTTTCTTCTACATTTTCTATGACCAGTTACAGAACAATGTCTTCCAAATCTCTGTAAAAGCCTTGACGATTATCCTATGATGGTGATGAGAGTTCAACGACAGTAAGCACTGCAACAGCTGTTTCAGATCGTCCGCTCCAAACATCTGTCTCTCGATTATCATCTCCACCATTGATGTCCTAAAATCATTGTACGGGTCGCTGGAATGTTTCACCACAGCAAAGCTATCTCTCACTTTGTTTTTGTTGTTGTCATTATCATTATTGACCCCTTCCAATGGTAAAACCCCCATGTCGCAGCTCCGGTTCTTGGCCTTTCTCCGACGGGCATTACTACATCTTCTCTGGTCGAAATGTTGCCGGCCGGTGAAGGATTCGGTTGAATCCGACGAGAGGTTTCTCGAGGAGAAAAGAGTCTCGGTTTCGTCTTCACTGCTAAGCCACCACCAGCCACCGTGATGGCTATTAGCACTTCCTTGAGAAGACGAGCTGAAAAACGTGGCACCGGTCGACGTATTCTTGCTTTTGAGGTGAACCCTTTTCTTCTTCTTCCTCGTGATGCTTTTTTTCTTCTCGTAGAACCCAAAGTCTTTACAATCGGAGAAAAGATTCAATGGTGATAAAGAGTTACTACTACCGGCAGGGCATTTCTGGCCATCAAAAGCAAGGGCTGAACCCGAACCCGAACCCGAAACAACAAAAGGAGTGGAACGAACGAACATTCTACGTCGTGGGATAGTTTCTCTCTGTGTAATCATGACACAGTCATGTTTAATGGCGCTTTGGGTTGATTCATGGCGTTTGGGTTTACAAATGGAAGGGAAAGGTCGAGCCTTTGGCAGCGACGGTGACGGCGAAGGGTTGAACAGTTTGACGCTGTTGGGGGTTGGAGGTGTGGAAACGGGTTTTTCGACGACGTCGGAGACTTTTCGGCTCCGGCAGGATCCGAATGAGGATCGGAACATGCGAGAGATTCGTAGTTTGAATCGATTTTCCATTTTTGGAGAGGAAAACGGAGAGAGTGAGAATGTGTGGGAGGATTCTTTGTTTTTGAAGGGAGACTGGCTGTATATATAAACAAATAAAAGCTGCTGGTCTGGGGGGTTAATTTATAATTACTCAAATAAAATGCGTTCAAAAGTTACATCGTCAAACTTTTTAATATGGGTAAGCTTTTTAATATGGGTAAACTATGCGGTGGGTAAATTATACGAAGAGTCTCTTATGTTTTCAGTTTAACCGACTTTGGTCACCAATTTAAAAATTAAGTATAAATGGTCCCTAACATTATTAATCTATTCGATTTTAGTCCCTAATATTATTGATCCGTTCCATTTTAGTCCCTTAGCTTAAATTTGAAAATTAAATAATAATAATAAAGAATTAGATGGGACTATTATAGCAATTAAATCAAACTGCAACAACCAAAATTGGACCTAACGTGGAAGATGTAAAATGCCCCTTTCGGATTGTCTCATGTATTCATTGCTATTAATTATGCCTCCTCCACATCTCACTTTTACATTATACACATCTACCAAAACTATTCAAGTGACCAAACATTATTCAATTAAAATATTGCTACAAATATATTTACACAGGTATGAATATCTGTACTGGATGTTGATAGAAGCAATTAACCTTTATCAAGAATCACATCACCTGTGCTTTATCTGCATTTTGAGCGATTCACGAGATCCAGTTAACTACAGAAGAGTTCCCAGAACCAGAGATCTACTGCGAGGACTGAAGAAAGTACGAGTAATGCCAATGTCTGGTAACGGTTTAACGGCCACCCGGAAACTTCAGCCATTGTCTTCAAAAACGGAAGGGAACCATCCTGGAAATCTCGTTTCGTATTGGACCAAGACGTTACCCATTGTACACGGGAAGGAACCAGGTCGAGTTCCTCTCTTAACCGTCTCCCTAAGTCCGGCATGTGGCCACCTCCATATAGTATGGCCATCTTATTATGACCATTATCGATCGCTTGTCTCAGTGCTTCTATAGCAGCCCTGTTCCTCTCGCCGATGATAATCGATCTCTCTTCCACATCGGCAGTCACTTGAGAGAACCTACACATATCAATAATGCTTGTGACTTGATATACATGGACTTATGTTCAATGCCAGAGTACCCAAATACAAAAATGCATAGCTACTAACATTCAAAGCACAGTGACGCAAAAGTACACTCCCAACTCCCAAGTCCACAACTAACTCACTCGGAGGTTAGTCGTTTTGCCAGGAAAACCTTCATGGCAGCACCAAAGTCGAGCATCGATAAAGCCTCTAGCTCAGCATAATCTGATGTCTGGCTTCCCCCGTCTGCCTAAACACCGCTAATAACGAGAAAACCTACAAGTGGCATCGGTAGCACACGAGAAGCCCACAGAAGCTTAGATCTCCAAGGTTCAAGGTCCTCTGGGATTGAAACATACTGAAAAAAAGCTTTTGTGGATTTAAGAGCCATATCCCTTGCAAATGTGAAGAAGCTTTCACTTTTTTCGAGCTGGATAAAATAATATTTGAACATTAGGAGTAGGAGCATGATGAGCATCCAAGTCCAGAATGCCATGTTACCCGAAGTAACTTGAAGGTCTCGTAGTCAAGATCAGCATGGTACCAATTATGAGCTTGGTAATCAAGACAATCTAATTGGAAATCAAGCATAAGTATCCAAGCCATCTGTCGTTGAATGCATCCCAGAATGTTGAAACCTCGTGAACGAGAGCTTTTGAGTCTTTTCGCTGTCGAAGGATTCTTCTTATTTTCCAAGCTCTCCCTGATGGCCACCATCTCATACAGAACACAATCATATGGTGCAAGCTCCTTCTGAAGGGTTTCGAAGTATATGTAGCCAACAACATATCATAACATAAATTACTTGTAATATCATAACAATTCTACGTTTGAATTAGCCAAACATACTCTGCATCCGCGATATGAATCGTTGAGATCAAATCAACCTGAAACCATCAAAGAAGAAGAAGAGAAAACCCAGAATTAGAACCCAGAAAACCGATTCTTCTTCGAAGTGTTCATAATTCAAAAGTGGAGCGGTGGTATAAGTACCCGAAGAAAGGGATAAAAAAATAGACCAAGGGAACCTCTTAGGGTAACTAACAATAGCCGTCTGCAACTCGTCGCCACCGCTTCGACTCCCTCTCTTGAATCTCATGAAATCCGCTATCGAACTGCAGTTCAAAAACTGCTCCGGCGACACATCTTTAACAGTCGAGGAACACCCCAAGAGCTTCAACGATGGGTGTTTGGGAGTCTTTGAGAATATGGGATCGGGTTTAAAGAGTACAGGCCAAAAAGAAGTGGAATTGGGAGATGAATCAAGGTTTGAAGTTGAAGGAAATGACAACTAATAATTTTGCATGACAACTAATAATCTCCCACTTGAAGATTTGATTAGAATAATCATATCTTCACACCATTCTTTCTATCTTGTACCTTCATGTTGCTTACATTTCTGACAGGCCACAAGAGGATCGACATCAGGTAAATTTATCAGCATTAATCGCTTTCGTCATGAAATCTGCTATGTTGTCTTTGGTATGGATCTTCTGCATATCTACCGTCCCTTCTTCCACCTTTTCACGAATGAAATGGTATTGAACTAGTATGTGCTTTGTCATTGAATGAAATGCTGGATTCCTTGCTAGATGCAAGACGCTTTGACTGTCACAAAACAAAGAGACATACTCTTGATTATGCCCAAGCTCCTCCAATAGCATCTTCAACCAAATTGCTTCTTTACTGGCTTGTGTAGCTGCTACATATTCTGCTTCTGTTGTGGATGTAGCCATAACTGACTGCAATTTTGAAACCCAGCTTACAGCTCCACCAGCAACTTTAAACACATATCCTGTAGTAGATTTGTTTTTATCCAAATCCCCTGCATAGTCAGAATCGACATACCCATTGATAAGTAAGTTTGATCCTCCGTAACATAATGTAACATTTGAGGTCCCTTTGATGTATCTCAGGATCCTCTTTACTGTATTCCAATGCTCTTTGCCTGGATTCGCCATGTACCGACTAACCACTCCCACTGCTTGTGTAATGTCTGATCTTGTGCATATCATAGCGAACATTAAACTTCCCACTGCTGATGCATACGATACTCGAGACATCTCCATCCTCTCTTCTTCACTGCTAGGACTCATACTGGAGGATAATTCGAAGTTAATAGGAAGAGGGGTAGAAATTGGCTTACAATCTTGCATGTTGAATCTTGACAAGATCTTCTTCAAGTAATTCTTTTGTGAAAGCCAAATCTTCATATTACTTCTGTCTCGGTGAATTTGCATCCATAAAATCTTGTTTGTTGATCCCAAGTCCTTCATTTCAAATTCCCTAGCCAGTTGTGCCTTCAATTCTTCAATATGATCTTTGTTGGGTCCTGCAACCAACATGTCATCCACATACAACAGCAATATAACAAAATCGTTATCACCAGACCTCTAGAAATAAGCATAAGGGTCTGCATTAAGTATGTTGTATCCAAGGCACATAATGAAGGAATCAAATCTCTTATACCAACACCTAGGCGCCTGTTTTAGACCGTACAGAGATTTGTTCAACCTGCAAACCAAGTTCTTCTTTTCTTTTTCTTCAAAACCTTCAGGCTGGAGCATGTAAATCTCTTCTTCAAGATTTCGATGAAGAAAAATTGTTTTAACATCTAGCTGCTCTAGATGTAAGTTCAATGTAGCACACATTTCCAAAACTACTCGAACTGTTGTTAGTCGAACTACAGGAGAAAAGATTTCATTTAAATCAATACCTTCTTTTTGAGCATATCCTTTGACCACCAGTCTTGCACGATACCTCTCAACTTGATTGTCACCATTTCGCTTGATTTTGAAGACCCATTTGTTACCAATTGGCTTCCTTCCTTGTGGTAGTGGTACAAGGTCCCATGTATTATTTTTATGAAGGACTTCGATTTCTTCTTGCATCGCCATCATCCACAGTGAAACATCTAAGTTGTTTATTGCCTTCTGGTATGTTGATGGCTCTTCGTCCTCTGTTAAAAGGCAGTATGCAATATTACCTTCTATAACATAATCTGAGTACCAATTGGGACGTCTTCTCACACGATCTGATTGACGAGTTGTTTGAGCTTCAGAACTCTCTGGTTCTTGTTCATTATATGATGGTTCTGCTTCAGAAGAATCTCCTTGTTCAACCTCTTTTTCCACATGTATCTGTGTAGTCTCTGACTTTTCAGTTCTATCATCATCTTCTTTTCTTTGTAGCTTATCTTCTATAAAGATAACATTACTGATGATGATCACTTTGCGGGCAGTGGGATCCCATAAGCGATACCCCTTTACTCCATCAGCATACCCCAAGAATTTGTATTTCCTGGATTTTGGATCAAACTTTGAAATTTCTTGGGAGTTGTACATCATATACACAATACTTCCAAATACATGAAGGTTTGAATAATCAGCTGGTTTACCAGTCCACATCTCCATTGGTGTCTTCAGTTCTATTGCAGTTGATGGAGCTCGATTAACCAAATAACAGGCGGTATTGATTGCTTCTGCCCAAAATGATTTTTCTAGGCCGACATCCTTCAACATTGCTCTTGTTCTTTCTAACAAGGTTTTGTTCATCCGCTCTGCCACTCCATTTTGTTGAGGAGTGTTCGCCACTGTGAATTGTCTTTTGATGCCTTCTTTCCTACAAAATTTATCAAATTCTTCGCTTGTATATTCTCCTCTATTATATGTTCTGAAACACTTGATCTTATTTCCAGAATCAAGTTCCACCCGTGCTTTGAAGTTTTTGTAAGTTGAAAACACATATGACTTCTTCTTAATATGGTACACCCAACATCTCCTGGAGTAGTCATCAATAACTGAGACAAAGTATTTTGCTCCGCCTAGGGATGTAACTGGTGCTTGCCATACGTTAGAGTGAACCAATTCTAGAACACTTTTGCCTCTAGAATTTGATGTGTTGAATTTCAACCGGTGCTGCTTACTTGTTATGCAATGC